ACTTAATTTCAATTAGTGTATCAAATATTTTAGAAAATCAAATCTTTATAGAGTTCATCTGTTTTAACGAATAAAATTAGTTTATGATTTGATAGCAAGAAAATCAACGAATAATAATTGTTGTTTATATTACCTTGTCCTTCTTTAGGTAACCTAGGCATTCTCCATACAATAGCACGATGTTGATGCTCGTATTTAGCTTGTCCAGATGTTACTTCCATCAATTGAGGTTCTAACGTATCGACAGCACCCAAAAATCTTTCGATACCTTTGATCTTACCGGTTCTTCTGTGAGCCGATTTAACCGAACCGTACCTAAAATGTTTCTCTACCCTAAACAGATAGATCCAACATTCCGGTATCGGGAAACGCACCATCACGTCTTCGCACGGAATTTGACCGAGTTTTCTTGATGCAAATCCTGGTACTAATATATCTGCTCTAAGTTCCACCTATGATTAAACAATTATCGTTCGTATAAGTAAAAGAATAAAAATAATTAACTATGAGATAGAGATTAATTTATATAACGATTTAAATCGATTAATAAATTTGTTATATAATTCCCATGAGTTATATATATATTATTAATTACCTAGCATGCATTATTAATCATAAAAAAAAGCCTTTACCTTGTTACCGGTAACGCACATTACTGCTTTTAATTGAAGCGGTAATTCCCTATTTTTAGGTGGTCTTACTCGAAATCTCATTAATTCGATATAACATGCATCTGGTGGTTTGAACCTTTAAATATCGATTAGTATATTGATTAGTCGTTTAATAATATACTCGCAAAATTTTAGAAGGTTTAATAATTATTGAGTTAATTGTGCACGTAAAGGAAAACAAAATCATATGTAATAATATATATTTTAGATTTAACAAAAAAGAAAATATGTTAATTACTTAATGATCCTTGATTTTTCGTATTCGTCTTGTTGTACGCACGAATGAAATTCGACGTTTTCTAAACGTATCCATTCTTCGGTTACAACAGGTATAATATCGTGTCTTCCTACTACTTCTTTACCTTGACGCCACATATCATTTATTCCCAATTCAACGTCGGGCATACCTTAATCATTATTACACGTCGATTAAATCTTATATCATAAGTTATGATAGCAGGTAAATGAAAAAAACAAAATGTGTATTATACCGGTCAAAAAACCTAAGAAGAAAAGACGGACACGTGCTATTTGTTTTTCAACGTAACCCTCGGCACTTTGTTCAACGTATAATTCATCAACCACCGTTATTTGAACTTCTTCCATTTTATAAGTTAACGCCCTTTCCCTGTGAGCCGATAACCTGAAAAGGGCTTCCTCGATAGCGCACGAAAATGTTTTCATGTCCTCGTAATTTTGTGATCCCAGTTTGAATAATTGAGATATCTGAAGATAATAATAATAATTTATATAATTTTTGTAATAGTTCTTTTTTCTTTTTTTTTTTTTTATCGAAAAATTATGATGATTATTATTTACCTGTGCCGCGTGTTCTACAGGACGACCTAATTTTTTCAAATCGCTACCGAATTCTTTAACACCCTGATAATCACCTTGAATCGCGTAAGCAGCAAATTGACTTAGTTTGTTCGTCAAACGTTCGGCTTTGGTTACCTGGCCTGGTCTTACTCCTGGTCGTTCCTTGTAAAAAATATATTGCAACTTAACCGTGAATATTTTTCCATATTGGTCGAATTGTTGAGCACCGATATCCGAAACGGAATAACAAGCCAAAAGTGGTAACTCTTGGAACGGATCTTTGTCGTCTTTCCCATTGAACAATTGAAGAACCGGATTATCACCCTGATAAACTAATTTAACGAATATCTTTTTCCAAAATCGTTGTCCAGTGATTTTCTTTTTGTTTGGTTGACGTAATTGCATTTCCCAACCGTCACCGGTATACGTAACACGTGGAAAATCTTCCAAAGGTTGGCTGACATCCTCGTCGAACAACGGAGTCGGTGGTGTCTCCTGATTCGATGAAATTTTATTTCGTCACATTGTATACATATAATATAATACATCCGAGAGAGAAACAAAATTTTTCTTATTCAAATTATCGATTTAAAAAAAAGAAATTTTACCTGAGAATCTGTTCTAGTCATTTCAGGTTGAGCTGTTTCAGTAGGAACAACAGCTTCTTGAACAAATCCAGCTGTTTTATCGAAAGGATTGAAACGCGACGATGAATCAGCGTAAGCAGCATTTTGTGGACTTTTCGGTGGTGGTGCTAAAACTGGTACCGGTCCAACTTCAGATTGAGTAAGTTGATCACCATCTTTCGGTCTGATAAATTCAAAAAAGAATAATAAATCAAGTTGGTATACTTGAAAATAAAAAATCAAATTAATTATAACAAATGTGTCAACTTACTTTATGAAAACACTGAAATCAGGTGGTTCGTCAGAGTCACCGGAATCTGTTCGTTTAACTTTAGTTTCCGATTGTGGTGGTGCTGTCATACTTAAGAACGAATCAAAACCATCGTTTTCTTCGAAACCGGTAGCTCCAGTATCTCCACCGCCTGACGAATCTCCCCATACTGAACGAACGTATGGGAATTTGATTATAATTTGCATTTTAATTCGATACAATATTTATGAGTAAAGAAAAAGAAAAATGTAATGATAACGTACCGTCACTAGACGTATCCATAGCCGTAGGTCCAGTATTACCAAATGCATCTAAGAATGGGTCAGTATTCGTTTCTGGTTCAGCAGCTTTGTCAAATTTCGATGCAAATGCATCAAACGCATCACCGGTACTTTCAATAGCTTTAGTTGTAGCAGTAAAATTATCTAATTGCGTATCGGATCGATACGAATCGGTTCCAGGATATTCTGCAGCTGGTAACGGACTGGTTGAAATCAATCCACCGACTTCTTTAGCGGGTTCATTAAAATCACCTAAGAGATCGGATGAGAAAACATTTTGTTGGGTATCCGTCATCGAAAATATCGGTTGATTGATTTGTTGTGTCATCGTTGTTGCCAAAGACGTGGCTGCTGATGTTTCCGTTACCCCATATTGTGCAGCAGTACTTGTGCTGTCGGATATCGAGAAGAAGGGTGTGTCGACTGTTGTTGAAATTTGTTCGGTCGATTCCGTGGAAAATAATTCCGTAGCCGTAACTGAATTTATTTGGGCTGGGGTTGTTGTTGTTGTGACCGATGTTTGTTCTGAAAAATCTAAATCAACGACCGATTGGTTTTCCGTTTCTTGAATAGGAAATGCCATTGTTGATGAGACCGATGGTCTTTTTTCTGTACTGACTGTTTTAGTTTCTGAATAATATGAACTGAATGCACCTTCCGCTGGGCCAGTCGAATCAATTTCTTCATCGGTTATGTTAGCAAATGGATTTTCTTGAGTAGTACTAGTTACCGCCACGTCAGTTATCAAATTTGTAGTATTTACTGTGAACGTTGCCGTTGACGTTGTATCCGTATTCGGTGCATCGAATAAATCTAAAATGTCTTGACTACTTTTTGGTGGTTCTGCGGCCTCATTATCATAGGGTATCAAGTCCGGTACATTTCCATCGACGTCTAGAAAATCGGCAAAACTGTGTTCCGGTGTTGGCGAGGGTGAATGTATCAGAGTTGGACTTGGGGTTCTTGTAGCTTGCAATCGATCCAAAAGATGATTAGATGTGGCATCCATTGCTCCTGTAACCGATAGGATAAGGTCTTTTGTGTTTTTCGGCGGTGGTGGTGGTGGGGGTTGTGGCCTCGGTGGTGGGGGTCTCGACGGCGGTGGTTTTTCATTTTTCGCTTGTACAGGTTGTGGTATTGGTTCGCTAAGCTTTTCTTCCTCTTCTTTTGTGTCCTCAGGTAAATGAAATATATTTTCTTCGCAAAATGAAGCAAAAGGATTCGTTGATTCTACGTTAACCGGTGCTTGATATGATTGATCACTTGTAATATTTAAGAATGGATTTTCTCCGTGTTCCGTTGTTGCCGCACCTGTGAAGGATTCCAAGAATGGATTCAACTCTTGTTGACCAGCAACCGAGTTGTCCGACTCGGACGTGTAATCGTCCATAAGGAAAGGATTTCCACCTTTTGAATCCATCTTGATTAAATTAGTAAATAAAACAAGTTGATAAGATAATATCGATCAGTCTTAAACTGATCAATTAACGTTTGTGTAATTTTTATCGTTTTTTAAGGTTATTGCATGAGCTCGGATTCGAGAATTTTCAGTTCGGTTTTTCCTGGTCCAATTGTAGCAAAGCTCGTATCAAATGGATCTATATCGTCTTCTAATGTGTTGTCCTTCGACTGAACTGGCGTTAATACTTTCGTATCTAGATCTTGATCGTTCGTGCATAGAAAATCTTTAGATTCAGACACCTCGTCGGCTCTTGGATTAAAATCTTCTTCATCCGGTACCAACGAAGTAGCAACGATCGAACTTAAATTGATAGGATTCGGACGTATTTGTTCGGTTATTTGCTCCAGTTCGCTTTCTAAAACTTTCAGTTCTGCCTTGCCAGGTAAAATATTGACGGCTATGGAAGTATCGAAGGGGTCAACATATGAAATTTCTTCTTCTTCGATAGTTTTGGATTCGACTTTGGGAGTTAGGGGTTTCGCATCGACTTTTACTTCGGCATCGAGCAAACTTTCGCGTCTAGTAAGTTCCTTTTTTTCCGATTTTGTTTCAATTATTTCTTTCAATGGATTGCCAACAGTTGCATGAACAAATTCTAAATTATTAGGCCTGAATGAAGTTACGGTAAAATCGCTTTTTCTTCTCGACGTTTCGTTCTGCGATCTCGGATTAAATTCGTGATCGCTCAAGCTGTGCGATAATTTTGATTCTTCTTCCAGTAATTCGGATTCGATTAATTTCAGCTCGGTTTTACCAGGTGTTACTTTAGTCACGAAACTGGTATCGAAAGGATCGAGATCAGTTTCTTCGTCCTCGGATGGTAAACCCTTTTCAATTGATTTTTGCGTATAATACGGTGTTAAAGGTTTTGAGGGTAACGATTTTTCTTCGTCTGTGGTTGTTAGAAGATCTGGTCGATTTGACGGAGTCGGTAATTCAAAAGCAACGCTTTTTGTTATTGACAGATCAATAATTTCCGGTCTAGAAGCTTTTCTCCCACGATTATTGGATACGTTATCAGGAATCTGTTCTTCTACCTCTTCTTCTTCTTTCTCAAAGTTAACTTTAAATTCAGTTTTAGTAGGAAAAACTGGTGGACTTGGCCTTAGAGGAGGTTTCGCGATAGGAGTTGCCGGTGGTGTTTCTTTTCTAGGATCAAAATCGTCGTCGTCGTCGTCGTTGTTGTCAAGAACGTTGACGTTGACGTTATCGAGAACACTATCAGTCTTAGGTTGTTCACCGAGAAGTTCTCTTTCAAGAAATTTCAATTCTGTTTGACCAGGTGGTATTTCTTTGATCGCTGATGTGTCGAAAGGATCAACATATGTGAGTTCTTCAACTGGTGCTATGGGGGGATCGATCAAACTCAAATCACTCGTTGAACTACTTAACAAATCTTTCTTATTTACATTACTATTTTCCTCGAGTTTGGGTAAACCTGTTTCGTAGTCTCTGTTTAAGCCAGCAGGATCAGTCAACGATATGGAAACCGTGGATATCGGTAATTCTTCTAATTCTTTTTCGATAAATTTCAGTTCAGTTTTGCCGGGTAATATATTTTCAGCGAAAGTAGTGTCAAAAGGATCCTCCTCGTCAACGAACGTAGCCGCTTCGAAACTAGCTTCGATAATTTCGGTTTGAAAATCTTTTGCAATTGGTTCTTTCTCACCGAATGGATCCTCAGCTTCCTCGAGTCGAATCGGATTGTCAGTGGGTGCGGTTAAATCAAATTCGGCATCATCCAAGTCAGGAATTTCTTCCAAAATTGTTTTTTCTTTGAGTAATTCGAATTCGGTGATATCGATCGTTTCTTTAGTTTCGGTTGTGATTATTTCGGTTTCTTGGGTAGTCACAGGTGTGACAGGTTTCGGTAAAACTGTAGGTAATTTAGTTAAATCGATTGGTATATCCGGTAAATCGGAATCGTCGTCTAAAAGTGTTTTCTCAACTTCTATCGGTTCGGCAACGATACCTTCTGAAGTAAATCCACCTTCTAATTCCTCGAAATCTTCCAACAATAAATCCTGCTGTACGACAGATTTCTTTTTACTTTTGGGAGGTAATTTACACGTACTCACATGATCAATTCTACCGGATAAAATTTCAACTGCATTACCGAGACTAACCAACTTGTTGCCCTTTTTATCGACTGTTTTGAGTACCTTTTCAGCGTTGGTAGTATCGAACGGATCGTCGTCTAAATTTTCTTCAACAGGACTGTCGGGTATATAAGCTAATTGTACGTCGATATTTTGAAGAACGTCGACGTATGTCGTGTCAAATATATCTTCATCTGCCGAATCCTCTTGTTCATCCTCGTCGTCTGGTATCTCAACGAAACCGTTTTCGCTGACTAACAATTTATCGTTAGATTTACTAGGTTCACCTTCTACAGTAGCACCTTCACCGGGTTCCTTATTAACGAGATTTCCTTCTTCGTCAAAACCAATCCACTTCTTCGACGTGGATTTGCTTTTTTTCTCTTCGTCCTGTTCCTCTTCCTCTGATTTATTCTTTTTCTTTTCCTCAACCAAGGCCGGTTTACGTTGGAAAAATGAAACTGATTTAATACGATCTAGATCACCTTGGGTCTTTTTTAACAAAGAATCAACACCAGCCGTCAAAGCCTCGAACTTTTGCCATTCGTCGGAGCCAGCATTGCCGGCCGCAATTACAGGTTCACCAGAATCCTCGGCTTTCTGTTCGGCCCGCTCTGCTCGCTCCGCACGTTCACGCCTGTAACGTTCAAGTTCCTCCGGGTCGAACTCTTCCTCCTCGCCCTTCTTATTTTTCTTCGACTTTTTCTTCTTTTTCAATCCCTTAGCTAGCTTGTGCATTCTCTAAGACCTAACGTTTCCCGGGAGAGGCTTCTGCAATCAATCAATCAAATATATTCTTATTTATTAATAAACGAAATAATAAACACATTCGTTATCTCGAATTTATTTGATTTAAATTATTCTTTATATTTAAGGTTAGATTTATATTACTAGTTTTTTTAGGAATAATATTATTCACTTTATATATCTTACTTTTGATATATTTATAGGTTAGAATTCTGTTATACATCTTATTTTGATCACAATCAAAATGATCTTACCGTAAATATTAATTTAATCGTCAATTGGTAGATAATGATCGAAAGGAAATGATGCATTTCCTTCGCCGATTATTTCTGATCACTTTTAGGATGATTGAAAGTTATTGGTAAAGTGTATCATTACGATTAGAGAAAATGATTGGTCAGTTATCGAGAGTCGTCCATATTGGAAACAAGTTTATATTCATTTTTTCCAAAATCGATAAATTTAACCAGACGATAGTTTAATGAAATAGAAAAAAAAAAAGTTGAAGTATGAATAATAATAAAAAGATTATTTTCAACGAACGAACTAATGTATCTAACATTCCAATTAAATTCTTATACCTAAATATCAGACATAACAATCTCATAAACACTTTTGTCGACATTATTTAAATAAGATTATCCCTGGCTGCCAGATTGATTTACATTTAAATAACAAGTGTACACGTTATACTTAGAATTTTATTATCGAACGGATGGAATTACGATTTATTTTCATAAAAAGAAAATAAAAGAGAAAAAAAAATAATCATTATTATATAAACAACGTGTTAATTTTGAAGATAGGAGAAAAATTGTGATTAACAACAAAAAATATTCTTTTTCTTTAGATGACATTTAAAAATACTATTCGTATCGTTTATCTTCAAAACGTGATCTATCTCACAATCTATTCTGCTGAACAGACAGAAAAAAGGGGTATAATAATCAATATTTCGATACGATCATCACAGGACAAAATCCTTTAATCCAATCCCCACATTCCATTTGGTTTTTATTTTTTGTTCAAATTATATCGGACCACTAATAACACTCGTGAAACGAAGAAAAGTAATCGTTCCCATAGATGATCGGGTTGGGGGAAAATAAAAACACCCTAAGTGTTATAAATTGTCTTGAAATTAAATGGTTACGTGTAATAATTTGTTTCGTGTGCCAACAAAAAACCCTCCTGTGGGGGTATAAAAATCTTTTACGGGTCATAGATTTGAGTCGCATGGTGGCCGTATTATATTCATTTTAGTCTTACTAACACACCTGTATTTATATGATGACTACATACACATAGATAAATGGATACTTTACACGTGCCTTGGTTGAAAAGTTGAATCGATAAACGAAAGAAGAATAAGGGCATCATCGTGATACTTCTTCTCACACATTTATAACAATAAACGAGATTCTTTTCGAAAAAGTTTCGAAATTTCAAATCTATTTTTTAATTTGTTTATAATTTTCACTAAGAGAATAAACTTTATCGAGATTCTATAATGATTTTCTTTAGTTAACTTTTATAAACTAGGGTATTTCTTTTAAACGTTTTATCCAATATTATTCAATAATCATTGTCATTCGTTTAAATTCGAAATAATCATTGAATTTAATTGAAAACGTGTCGTCGAGGATACGTTACAAAACGTATCGCGAAAGTATCGATTAGTTATATCCGTTGCATCACAACAGACAAAAGACGTTTCTCTTGAATCTGGTAGAAGAGGGAAGGGGGTTGAGGGGTCTTGTTCGGGTATCATTCGAACTTTTCTTCTTCCATAACACAAAATCTTACCCTCGATTTTATTCTCATACTTATTTCTCGATTGAATACACAATTATTCGAATTCACGAAGATGATATTAATTATATATCATATTCAATTTGAAATATAATCACAATTGATAATTGTTTTAATCGTTTGTTATACTGCAAATCTCAAAAAAAGGGTTTACCTGTACTTTGGTATTGAATATAAAATAGTTCAATGTGGGGGTGTAGATTCGATTGATTTACCAACTGCGCGGAACTTTGTGCTCAGATGTGAAACAACAAATGATTTATTTTTAATGATCATATTGTTTTTCAATTATTTTTATATTGAAAAATTGTAAAAATGATGAATCTTACGATACAACGAACTTTTACGGCTCGTATTTTCTAGAAAGAATCTCATGAAATTCTAGTTTTAGTATCATCCAATTATACGTGTGTTATGTATAGATACAAGAAATGACGAAATCTGAATGGACGAGGATTTATAAATGAAAAATGTCGTCGAACTCGAGACAAATTTTTGGTTTCATCGTTAATCGGTAAAAAAAAAAAAAAATTCGTTCAAACGTAGATTCAATTTTGACGAAAAGTTATATACGAATGAGGCCAGTGAAGTAAAAGAGAAATATAAAAGAAAATGAAAAGGGAAAGGGAAAAAAAAAAAGAAAAAAAAATTTCGACTTTAGTTTTATATTTAGAACGATCGAAGAATGTCTGTTCTGCGTGATGTAACACGACGAATAAGAAGAAGAAGAAGAGAAAAATAAAATAAATAAATTTTGGTAGCTTTGAACAAAAAAAAAGAAAAGAAACATGATTTAAAGTAAAACGATCATCAATTCTATGACGATGGTTGCTATGTCGATCATACCCCATGATACTTTAACACGCATTAATCAATGATCATAAAATCAATTGTAAAATCTTCATTCGAGATAATTGCAAACGAAGATAACTTAATTCTTATCTAATTATGTTTTGTAGTAAATAAGTTTCATTATAAAAAAAAGAGAAAAAAAAATATAAATTTCGGTTCGTAACATATAATTGACAAAAAGTGATAAATCTTTCAGGTAGTTGATACGATTAAACATGCTGCATATGTGATAGACACATCCACACACACACACACACACACACACACACACGGTGCATGCCTAGAACGTCAGCGGTTTGCTGAGAAGGTTGCGATCAATCCCACAGGCTCGTGTTCCAGAACGTTTGATGGTTCCTAAAAACTAGTGTTGACTAAATCGAATCAAAAATCTATAAAATATTTCGTATAACATATATATATATAGTTAGAAATACCATAGACGGAAAGAACACATAAGTATAGAAGATAACACTATTGATACTTACGAGTTGCGCCTCATCAGCCACATCGATAGGGTGTACATTTTTTTCGCGTCATCACGCAATGAAACTTTCCTCCTCTTGTTACTCTCCCACAAAATATATATTTCGAATGTTAAAACGATCAAATAATTATACTAAACGCGTTTATTATCTTACTCGTAACACTCGATCAAAAAAAGGTTCCGAAAAGGGAAATACCCCGAAATGTGAATGAAACGAATAAGTATATGCGTTGTGTGGTTACAACAAAAATAGGAAAAAAAAAAGAAAAAGTAGTATAAAAGGGGGGGGGGATATAATGAAAATATAGGATCGAACCGGAAACTAGTGTTAACTATGATGACGACGATGACACTTCTTCACCAATGAAGTTTTTTCTTTCTTTCGTTTTTTCTTTTTCTTTCTGGAAGAAAGAACAAAAAAAAAGTAAGATAAAAATAAAAATACTCTATCTAGTCTCGATAGAATATTATCGAAAATGTTGTAGTTAAAGTAAGGAAGCTTCCCGTACCGAAAGCTAAGGCAACTCACCTCGTACTCTCCTGCGGGCTGAGCTATTTCCAGCATCGATCCGTTTTGCGGAGAAGAAACATGCGCGTACAGGGATACTACGCGCATGTCGTACGCGCGTGCCTAATATCAAACACTATGATCAGAGTTGGTCGACTCACCTTCCTCGTCGTTGTCGTCGTCGTTACCCATATCCACCCCTTTTCCTATCCACCATATTCTTTTTTTTTTTTTTACTTTTATCCCTTTTTTATTAGCCCTTCTGATGGGGATAAAAAGAAATGAAGAGAGGGAGAGAGAGAGAGATACTTGAGGGGGTAAATTCAGTGGTCTCTTGTAGGGCACAAGGACACTCGAAAACTTAGATCAGGTTAAAGGTTTGAATACTTTTTAATATGAAATATATTAATAATTGTAGTATAATCGTTCAAATGGGTTCTTTCGAGATGATTTAATTTATTTGTATACTTATTGTTTAATATGGATATCGCTTTGATAATGGGGATTAATTCTTTTTTATATAATCGAAATAAATGTATTACATACATTTGTTTAATGTTATACGAGTATCGAACTTTTATTTTTTTCTTTTTACATAGGTCATCGTTTCAAATTTTAATGTAATTGTGAGTTAGATGAACTCACGGAAACGTTTAGGGATGTTATCTTTTTTTTTTTTCCTAACGTAAATGTATTTAAAATAGATCGAATTAAATGATTGTTTATTTATAGTAACATATAGAGATTTTTTTGTTATTAATATTATGCAATTTGTTTTCATTCGTGATTTATGTATTGCCAAATTCAACCCTTGCATTGATTTATGTACCTATGGTAAAAATGTTGAAATCATTGTAAATCATTTGGGTTGACGTTTTTACCATGGTACGGCGCTGTACGTGCATAGTTTATTCTCATCGATAATTTATCATTCGATGGTATTACATTGGAATTTATCTAGAAATATTCCCATTAAATTCTAGTGTAAAATTATCGGCAAATAAATTTGCTTTTGGTGAAAAGTATTAACCAATCGGGAGATTATAGTGATATAATGAATTTTTATATAAAATACTATGATTTCACATTCGTTTCAATATTAAATTCATTAAAGATAAAACGAGAATAACGTTATTTGTATGTATGAAACATTGGATTTTTCTTTATGCAATATGTACAGCGTTTTATCGATTTGATTTTTAATAAAAAATAAGATCCTGCATTTTTTTTTACTATACTACATACGTACATGCCTTTATGATACAAAACCGCGCATCCATATTGCACATTGAAAACGCGGGATTACTTCAAAATTCTCAATATTAAAAAATGTATTTAGGGGGGGTGTATGGTAAAATATATATATCAAATTATTATCTTCTTGAGTATATAAGAAAATGACTGAGAACTTATTGTTGAATATTTTTAAATCGTATTGTAATATTTTCTTTCACATTTTCAATATCCAAAAAAAATACCTTGCTCCAGATACCGTTTTATCGTGTTCTTAGAATAGTATTTGAAAACAAAAAAAAAAAAACAAAAAAAAAGAAGAAAAAACCTTATTACAAACGATAGAAATAAGAAATTGCTTTTGTTCGTATCATAATCATTCCTCATTCTACCGTTTCTCTATAGCCTCATCATCCTCTTTCTTTCCGCCCACTCTTTTTTTCCCAACCATTCTCTCCAGAAATTCTTACTAGCATTATGACGGTGACTAATGCGCGTGGTGCTTTCTTTGTCACGTTTAACGTTTAACACGGTTTCTGTTTTTACGTGTTATGATTAAACGCAGACACGTGACTATTTTTCCATTTATTTTTACCTTATCCATTAGCCATTGATCATTTTTTATTAGTTAAATCGAACAATTTTCTAAATTGAGTAATAACAATAAACAAAGGGTTCTTTAATTTTTCCCCCGTTAATTCTAATTATTTAGATAATATCATAATAAATTGTAGATAGTGTTATAATAATAGAAATATGATGATGATGGAATAGATGTAAATTAATGAAAATAATCTATGGGTCCAGGTTATTCCCGCGCAAGAAACAAGCGCAAGCGGAATCAGGGTAGTGACTAACTCCATGTAACATCCTCCATATTGATCACATAGAGTATTCTATCTCATTCTATCTTCCCGTCGATATCTCCTTCCATGTTAAAGAGAACACCTGCGTCTGCGTAACCTACATACGTTCATGTATGATTTTCAGCAAGAACGTCATCATCATCATCATCATCATCTGCATCATCATCTGCATCATCATCATCATCGTCAACAACATTACGATGACGGATCATCATTATTATCATCGGTAACAATAATTAGTGACAAGATTGATCATTTTCATCATTCTACAACCATTTTCTTTTTTTATCCTAAAAAAATCTGATACGTACATATATACACGTAAAGTGTGTCTATGGTGTTACACATGGAAACAGGTTACTACTGATTCGTTTCGAGTTTAGTGTACTATCGGCATCGTTCCAGATGAATAACCTTATTCCCATGATCTACATCCATATAATGAAAGGAAGATTCAAAGTACAAGTACATGTACGAGAGAGAGAAAATTATGGTATTAGATAAAGTGACGTAGAGATGAGAAAATATTTAATTCAAAGACAAGTATAGTACTATAATTTAGAATCGGATGCCCGTTAAGTTAGGAGTGTGTTCACTGACGTGGTATAACTCGTGTTAAAAGGGAAAATAAGAGAGAGAGAGAGAGAGAGAAAGAGAGAGAGTTATGGTATTAGATAAAGTGACGTAAAGATGAGAAAATATTTAATTCAAAGATAACTATAATACTATAGTTTAGAATCGGATGCCTATTAAGTTAGGAGTGTGTTCACTGATGTGGTATAACTCGTCTTAAAAGGGAAGATGCGAAAGAGAGAGAGAGAGAGAGAGAGAATCATCATCAAAATCGTTGGTTAACGTCATGGGCATAGAGTTTTGGAATGAGGAGTTGGGGAGGGTTTAAGGGGGTTGGAATAAAATGAAGGTGGTGGCGCTGAACTAACCTGCCAGAGCATAAAATTCTAACCCAAGCGTTGGATCTCGTTGGTAAGACGCCAACAGTGTCGTGAACGGACAACACTGGTGGCGCTGTAGCCGTCACAACCACCATCAACCCCACCATCATCCACCATCAACCCCTCTACCACCACCACCACCACTACCACCACCACCCTCATCGTTATCAGCCAACAGCAGCAGCACCAGCAGCAGCACCACCAGAGAAGCTGGATACTATCAGACCTAGAACAGTGTCGGCACAGCTCTGGCTTCCTTGGTTTACGTGGATAACGCGCACAATTTCGCGCACGATGTCGTCGACGTCGTATTCGCAGGACATAGCGTAAATGGAAGAACACGGAAGAAGAAGAAGAAGAAGATTATTATTATTATTATTATTATTATTTGTCCTAGCTTATTTTTGTGTGTACGTGCCTCGGTGAAAAGGAAAAGAAAGAAAACAAAATATTATGGAATATAATAATAATAATCATCAACATAAGAGTGTTGTCGAATAATTTATTGTTTAAACACACGCCGCGATTAGAATATATATTTATATATATATATCTATATCATTTTTTTTTTCCTGATTACATGTATCATTGTAATTTTGATTGAGAGTAACAAAATGTGTCAATCGTTTGAACACAAAGGACGATGATATTTAACTATCTATATAGTATCGGTAATATAATTATTTCTCATTCGTAAAAGAAATAATATTCGTATATGATAAAAATAAAATAACATTATACATTTAAACAATATAAAAAAAAAAAAAAAGACGAATTTCTCGATCGAATTAATTAAATCTACTTTTTCTTTTTTTTCTTTTTTATTTTTTAACAAAAAATGAAATCATAATAATTATCTTATGAACATGAATGTGACATGAATGTGGAGTTTGATTAATATACACGGTTTAATTACATTATTAACTATCATGAAATTACTTTTAATTCGAGAAACGACGAGTTATAAGGGATACAAGTTAAATCTTATTTGCCACCATTTGTGATGGTGTTTTTCAGATTGACAGATGCAACGTATAAGAGAGAAGACGAGATGGCCGAAGTGGCAACGAGAACTATTACGTTATTATATTTCAACGTATCAAAGAATTATTATTCTCGTGATACTTCAATTAAATTATTCTCGATCATTATCGTGACTTTTTGCACTATTTAAATATATATATATATATATATATATTTTATAAAACGATTATGATATTTCTCATAAGGATGTAGACCAGTTCGAGTTAAAGGCCTATCGTGGCCGAGTTTCCTTACACGAATTTTTCCTATACACACACACACATACACACATATATATATATAATTTACAATGATGTAAGTACGTGTATATTGCATACACGTTTTACGAAAGACGTGTTAAAAAATTATTGAAAAAAGGTGAGAAAAGTGAAAAATATCTCGGATAATTTGTTGTCAAAAGCCGCTCCCACGAACAAAAATTTCACCAGGAGAGAATATAGGCGCGATCCTTCCCTTACTCGATCGTCCTACTTTTTTTCATTCCACCACCCCAGCCCTTTTCCTCCTTCACCACCCCTCTTTCTCTCATATTCTCACTCTCTCCCTCTTCTCAAACCGTTCGTGCATCTCTTCTGTGAATCCGAGTTCATCATATTTCAGTGTCCCAGTGCAACCAGTCAGATGATCGAAGAAATATAATAATAATAATAATAATAATAATAATAATAATAGTGTTCGCGGTGTGTATTCGGGTTCGTTATATTTAATAATAAGGAAGCCAGAAAGAAGAGAGTGTCACAAAGTTTTTTAATTATCCTGATAGAAGGACAAATAAACGAGAAGAACAAAAAAAGGAAGGAGGGTGGAGTGGAGGGGTGGGTTAGGCGGGTTAAAGAAAGATTGTTTATATAATTATATTCTATCGAATCAGCGATAAGAAAATGTGTGTGAAAATAATCATAGTAACTACACGTGAGTACGTGATTCGTTTAAGTGACGTGATTCTATACCAATGCCGATGACACGCTCGTTTTTGAGAGCGTAAGTGAATAAGTGTGTTAGTGATTTTAACGTGCATGTATGGAACCGGCGTTTATTACGTAGGATGTTGTTCCTGGAAGTTGTCCAATAGTACACGAGGAGAAAGATAGCAACAGCGAAAATGGTGGATTTAGAAGGGTACATCATTATGCTGGCGAATAAGAACGGGGAGATGAAGTTGTACGGTAAGCAAAACGTTCATGTTCAAATTTATGTATAATTTTCCAAAAGCGTTATGGGGGTACGGGGTAGGGGTAGGTGTAGGGAGGCTAGGTGAAGCAAAAGGGATGATCTGGACGGATTGGGGAAGGAATGGGGATTGGGATTGGGATGGGATGGGACTGATAGGGTAGTTAGGGGATATCCATTGCTCGTTAAACGTTTGAATATTTATCAGGGCTAAACGTTGATGGATCATCGTACCAATATTATGATTTTGTCGTATCAAAGCTTTTCCCGGAAATATATGTGGATGGATATATATATATATATATATGTATGTATCATTGACCAATATCACTAACAGATTTTCTTTAATATAGAATATAATGTTAGGATGTGTTTTAATGAGACTGTCCTTTGAACGGGGGTTCTTTATTTTTTCTTTTTCTTTTTTTTTTCTTTTTTATAGGATTCTCTCGTTTGTACAAATAATCAAAGTTAAAGATAACCTTGTTAATCTATTCGATATGGCATCGTCGAGTTAAACGAAGATAAAAATGGTTAAAGCGTTTTAATATTGTAAGATATCGTGTGACAAAGCGAGAGTAATATTGGATTTATTTTTGGACCGTCGTTCTTTATTTTATAATTAATTTCCGCATCGTTTGGTTATTCGATCGTTGTTTAAACACGACGATCGGCGCAAGTTCAATGACGATTTATTTAATGACGTTCATTAATGATCGTATCGTAAGAGATTTATTTTCTAAATTTTAATAGTTCTCCTATTTTTTTGTTCAGCTTAGGTCGTAATGTTTTTGTACGTTTTTGTATTAATCAACAATAATGTTAATTGTTTTTACGTTTTAATTCTGACTTGTATTTTTGTATTTCTATTGTTTGATTTGATTTGATTTATCTCGCGTGATTCATAATAGTATAACTATAACTAACGTAAACACAGACATCAATGGGATCATTCTATCTTACGATACGTCTCGATCCGACAGGTTCTCGTGCAGAGAACGCGGATGGTTTGGAATTCGACGACGAAATTCTCCAAGTTAACGGCCGTACTCTACAAAATGCAACCTATGCGGAAGTCATTCAGTACATACATCAGGTAATTAATTATTAATTAATTTTCCAATGGGTTTATATTTAATCAACAATTTATAATCTTGTACACCACCCTCGTTTACGGTAGCAATTATAGATCAACGTATTTCATATACACACGTATACTCTCTTGCATAAATACATCGACGAGTTTGCAAGATTATTTAGAAAATTATCCACAATTGTTTCATTTAAAAACAATTAAAAATAATTTGCAGATTGTGCAGATCATGGGGTTAGAGAAACATATATTTTAAGTATTATATTGAAATTTGTCGATTGTTAATCAATTTTATTTCCGAAAGATATCATATTTGACATAAACAATTGAGGATATAACACCAATCGTGTTGATAAGTATTATAACACGTCGAGTATTATAGTTTTTTTTTTTTAATTATATTTTTACCAGATCACAATTTCGTTATTATTTATGTATATATATTTTTATTTTTAAAAATGAAATATTTCTCTAATTTTAAATTAATATCTAAAATAAGTTGTCCCTCGTTGTGTGAGAAAATTAATAAAAGTTTTCATTCACAATATTATAATACGAATTATATCAAATATATACACAACGGTAACATATATACGAGAATAATTTTGTAAATATAATTCCAATAGATTTAAAAAAAAACGTATAAATAAATTAAATATTTCTAACGTTAAGTGTTAATTAATTCTTGCAGTGCATCAAATCTCGCACGATATCTTTACGGTTACGTAGGCGAAAGGAAAGCCGTATCGGTGAGTAATAATATTAATTACAAGATTCATTTATATAATTCTAAGAAAAAAAAAAGAAAAAAAAAAAATCACTTACACCGATATTCTCCTTTAAAACGATAAAATAAATAAATCAATACCCAAAGTAAGTAAACGCATTTACCGTAAAACAAAAAAAAGAAAAAAAAACAAAAAATAAGAAATTCAACGATGTTAAATTAGAGTTCGAGCTTGAATTGAAGAAAAAAAAAAAAAAAAACAAAAAAGAAAGAAATCAATTACACAAGTTTTCCATTTTACAACGAATTTAAGTAAATATGTGAGAAGAAGAAGAAGAAGAAGAAGAAGATAAAACCAATTAAATAAATAAACAAACAAATAAATAAAATATAATAAAATTGTATGTATTCCAAGAATAATCGAAGAAATTTCACTTGTGTTTCGCGGAATACTACTGTGTAAAACGATGAGAAGGAATCTTGAACGTTGAGAAACTTGAAAAAGGGAATAAAGTTGGCCGAGCACTGAGCTCTCTCTCTCTCTCTCTCTTTCTCTTTACACACACACACTTTGATTCTTTACCGAGAAAGAGAGAATAGAAGAAGAAGAAGCGAGCAACGACGACGAATCGATAACTTCTCGAAGAGAGAAGAACACAATAGTTCTCGTGGAATATATCACCTTTAAGATTTCACCAGCATCTTTCTCATTTTCTCATACTCTATCTCTCTATCTCTCTATCTCTCTCTCTCTTTCTGTTTCCTCTTCTTCTTCTTCTATCATTCTATCTATCTATATACCTTATCTATCCATCTCTTTCACTCATTTTCTTCGTATACCTCAGTATATACACGTTCCATCTATTCAAAAAAGTTCACGAGTACTTTTCGAGATATTCCAAGAACATTGAAATTTCTGAACCGGTGTACCGTTCGATAAAGACGACGGACATAACGTAATATATATATATATATATATATAGAGAGAGTTGTTACTATTTGCTTGGATAAGAAGAAAATTTGTTTTAACCCTATACTAGTAGAAAATTTATTTCTATCCAAACGTTTTTACAAAGGATCGTCGTGTACCGGAGATACCAGAAGATAGGAGTGCTAAATGTTTCTTCTTTGACGTTATTCCTGTAAACCATTTTTCTTCTTCTTTTAAAAAAAAGGTTCAAAGAAAAGTCTTCTTTTTATTTCTCTTTTTCTATCTATCTGTCTATCTATCTTGTGTTTCTTATATTTTCTTTATTTTTACATCGTGGATTATTTTCAAAACGAGAATCCAATTCGTACACTGGATTCACAAATGTTCGATAAGTTTTTATGTGCAATGTAGGATTTAAACGTTGGAGAAGAATCTTGATAAAAAAAATCTTTTTTTTTTTTCATTTTTTTTTTCGAACGTTTATAGACAAATCGGAATATTAGTTATCGATAAATATTTTCATCGCCAGTTTTCTTTACCGAATATTACGAAGATAATAAAAATATATACGTGTTTTTTTTTTTTTTTTTATTTATTTTCTTCTTCTTTTTTTTTGTGTGTGTGTTTTTTTGTTCATGATGTATATTTTATAGATGTGTACAAAAGTTCGAGAAATAATACGTAATATTTTTTCTTTTTTCATGATGTTATAATAATACAAATCATTTACAATGAATGGATTAAAGATTATATATATATATGTATATATATGTGTGGGTTTAACTTATTATATATGTAAGCGGATTAACTTTTTCGTTTCTAGTACCGATTATATTCGGTTTCCTGTACAGTTGCAATAATTACTTGCATTCTGTTATAACAATCATTAATATTTGTTTCTATTATGTATTCGAAATAATTGCAATGTCAAAATTTATGCATTATCTGTATTTTCAAATTGATTGCATTCAATTATATTATCAAATATATTTATACAAAATGATGATGATTATTATTATTATTATTAAATGTTTTGTATATTAATGAAAATAAATGTAACATAAGTACAATGAAGTATGGTCGAAAGGATACAATCGTTTCGAAATTGAATATTTAGAAATTTATTTTATAAGATTGCATGTATATTTAATTATCTAATAAAAAGAAAAAAATTCAACACATTCGCGTAGATTTTTGTCAGAATGAAAGGATCAAACGATTGCGTTAACATTAACAAACAAACAAAATAATAATTTTGTATTTTAATGTACTTTAACTTAATCATTTTTAGTTTTTTCCTATTGCAATTTATTTTCGATAGATCTTAGTTTCTCATCAATATTCTTTCATTTATTATATAATTATAAATAATCCTTAATTCCACTGTATACACAGAGTGAACGCAGTGTAATATAATTATATCACGAACATAACTTTATCGAATAAAACAAAATGAAACGTCATGAAAATAATGAAATTTAATCGTGTAAATACAAAGTATTTAAAAAAAAAAAAATAAATGACAAAATACAATTGACAATTTATTAATCGTTAATAAATAAATAAACTATGTAAAAGTTCAATCTCTTTCGAAATAATAATCGTAATTGAATATGGAACAGTTTTAAAAAACAAAACAAGACAATAAATATCGATTAAAAAAAAAGAAAAATTGGAAAAACACTGAAAAAGCAAAAATAAAACATTCCCCCGTCTGACCGACCGAACCAAACAAAAAAGAAAATGATCAAAAGATAAACACAAACATTAAAGAATTTTCTTGATACTACGGTGTGAGGTAAGCGTAAAATAAAACGGCACGTTTAACGGGATGCACAGGTGACAGGTAAACTTGGATTGACTTTTCTCTCTCTCTCTCTCTTTTATGCGAAATAACAGAATACTTTTAAACTAACAACATAAAGTACAACCAACCACCAATCGTACTAACTCTTGTTACTGCTACGAATTCGAAAAGCATGATAGAATAATAAGAATAAAAATAATAATAATAATAATAATAATAATAAGAATAATAAGAAGAAGGTATAGGAAGGAATATAAAAGGGAAGGAAGATCGTACAATTCCGTAAGGTCTCGTGTGATTCCGGCGTTCACCAGGTAAATGCCTCAGGTGGCTCGTCAACGAAGGCCTGCCTCCTCCTCGTGGAGTAGAGTGGAGCCATAGGTGTACTTGGAAGGGGTAAATACGTGGTAGTAGGGGTAAAGAACGGAATAAAAATACAAGGAGAGAGAATACTATAGTAAGGAAAGAGAAAGAAAGAGAAAGAGAATTTGGCGACGGTGCCACGAAGTTTTAGCGCAGGCTTAAAGTTTCACGTCGAGTATCTCAACACCATCGAAATGTAAGAGAATTCCCATAGTTATTATCGAAGGCCAAATTAACGTTAGTTCCTCGTCCTCGAATTTCTAAACACATTATCCTTATTCTTATTTATCTTATTTTATACTCGTTTGAGAAAGGAGTAGATCCTCCTCCTCTTCCTCCTTCTACTCCTCTTTCTCCTTCTCCTCCTCCTCCTCCTTCTCTTCCTTCTCCTCCTTTACCACTCGTCGTCGTTATGTTTCCTATCGTCATAGGTTAGCACTGAAAAACTTTCAAGTCAGTCTACTCGCGTTTTGCGTGCCGCGTATGTGTATTATACATGTAATATAGTGAAAATGATTTAACGTGATTTTTTAAACGCGAGTGTCAAATAAAGGATACGCCTGGATATAAAGGTATTACAGTGTGTGTGTATATGTGTGTATAATAATAATATTATAAGACAATAGTTGAATACTTTTCTAGTCGTGTGTGTGTGTGTGTGTGTGTGGTATGTGTTTTTTTTTGGTTTTAAGTGTACAAAAAGGGGAATATGTTTGTTAACAACAACGCGTCTTTTATTAAGGTAATACGTGTACGTATATATGTATGCCTGCTTCTTTGTGTGTGTGTGTGTTAAATTATCTTGAGTACGTTGCTAAATTTGCGTATTAATCGTTGTGTTTCTACTCATTGATAGTTATATTAACTCGAGTTTATTTGCTTGCTGCTGCCATTACGATTTTACCCCTACTCCTTATATTATATTCTCATTCTTTATCCTTGAATTTGCTATATATGTACATATGCGTTTGAAAATAACCACCACTATGATCTCGATATCGATGTAGTTTAATACCAATGTATTTATTTACATTTTCCTATATATGTATTAGTGAAGTATTTTATATAGAAAATTGGACGTTCATTTTTTCGATTTGGATTTTTCTTTTTTTCGTTTTCGGGGCCAGTTGTTTCGATGTCCTAAATGTCCTGGCAACGAATTTCGTTTGTTCCGACCGGACGGGAACGATTTCGCGGACGAACGCAATGGTGTCACTGCTTGATACGCGATAAACGTAACTCTCTTGGTTATATATATATGTTACCGTCATAGCCGGAAATACGCCATTGCTAGTAATTCCTCGGCATTCTCATCAATGCAAAAAGCATTCCGATGAAGTCGGAAACAGAAAAATTCTTACAGTTTTTCCTAAGTATTCAACATAATACTTTGATATTCTATTAAATATCAAATTACTATTTAAACAACGTTGAAAAGAATACATTCTCGGGCACATATACACACAGTCATACTCCTCCCCCCTCAAAAACTTTTCAAAGAAATATCAGAGATTGCAATGCTATAAATTGTACAACTTTGCTATTTCTTTGAAAAGTTTTTGTAAATATCTTTTATACTAAAAGTAAATAGATTTTAATGAAACTTATATTAAATTAAAGTACACTCTTTTTTTCTACACGTAAAATACTTTATAGAATTAT